TGCACCTAAAAACCTAGCCCCACACACCCTATTGGCATATTCATCGCCCTGATGACGGAGGCAGTATGACCTCAGAAACGTTGGTTAACATCGACCAGACTACACAGCGCAACAACCCAGAAGACAGAAATCTTCTTAGCTAAATGTAATTCGCAATAAAATATAATGTAGGCCATGAATATGAAATCATAATCGAAATTCATTAAATCGTGTAAATAATTGTGCAGTTTCAAATGGCTATATAATTGATTTCTGACTGGACTAACTTACGAAAGTCTCATATATGAATTATCAGAAAGTATCAGTGCGTGTTTCTGGTGTAGAACACAAGATGTTGGCAACACTGGGGTGGCACCAGATGGGCACAGCTGCTTTGCTTCGCAGATTAAAACCAAGACGTGGAATTAAAAGCACGTGCGTCACTGACAGAGAGGGTGGGACATCCCCTCTTGCCACCACCTCGATATTGCGATCGCTGAAAATCGATCTAATTATTCGAAAAGTACGTTTTAGGTACAAATAGCTTCTGGAATTCTACTTGTGGGTGTGAAGACGATTAGATCTTAAGTAACTCAGTCGATTTGTTTCGTATTTGTCATTTTAAGTTCATATGTGCTATTTATTATAATGCGGCCTATGAAGTGTATGCATTAGGCAGAGTTGTGTCAGCTAACGTAACATCCACATGTTTAATCTCCGAAGCTACTCAGTGGATTTTTTTTAATTAATTTTGACATTGCGATTCTGCGCTTAAAATTGTCGAGTGAATTTAATTTTTCTGTGAATCTGTTCAATAGAAACCTAACTTTACATTGAGCTTAAGTAGAACTTCAAACATTTTATAATAGATTTTATCGTGCAGAAAGAAAAAGTACACGCATACAATAGAGTTAATTCGCTTTTGCAAATTGAAAAAAAAAATGTCTAGAGTTCTGTATGTTTAACGAAAGACTTGTCTGACTTTAGCGTCGCGTGCTCATATGTAATGATTAAATGGTCGCAACAACAGATTCTTATCTAAACCAAAGGAACATCCTAGTCCAGTGAAGCATTCAAAATCGCATGGAACACGTTTGTACAGATACGTACTCATTATGAGTACACTCTTGTTCCATCCTAAACACTAAAATTGTAACGCAGACGTCATTAGTATTTTATATTGAGGCGATTTTTTCTTTAACTGTTCTAATGGTCTTACTCAGCTGCGGATGTGACGTCACATGGTGCACATTCCCCAGAGGTGGCCTGGGATCGGCTAATCCACTGCAGTTCCGTGGGTGCTCTATCCCGTAATGGTGGCAGCACAGTGGGGAAACATGGGATATAAAGCATGTGGGGCACAGCCCCCGGTGCAGCTAACGTAGGGGGTTTGATCTCATGGAGCAAGGCTGCTGGGAAGAGCTGTGTTTGTGAAGCTGTGATGTATCAAGTCCCGTTTGGGGTAAGACTGCGAGAAATTAAATTTTTTTCACAAAGGGGTGTAGGCGCCAGATATGGCCTAACCTCGTGTGTGACCAAGTCCATGTTGGAAACTCTGTTATGTCTCAACCCAAGGAGGGCAAATCTGTGGATTTTGAAAGCCGGAGTGGTCTAGGTACAGGACAGGAAATCCTGGGCAACAAGGGTGGCGAACTAGGTTCCAGGGAGCAAACATGCTGACGAAAGGCCTTGGTGTTGAAGCTTCAGGGATTAAGAACCTGGCTTGAAGCAAGCCCGGTGTCATTATTTGGGGTGTCCCTGGAGTCGATCCGTAGGTGGTCAAAGCCCCTCGAGGTCAGTCTCATGTTCTTGAGGCCTGAGTGATCTACCTTGAGGTGGTAGAAGCCTATGAATTTTCAACCCAGAGAGGGCAAGGACAGAAAATTGGGGGGGGGGGCAAAGCTGCAGGGAACAAGTTTGCGTACAAAGCCTCAAAGTGAGACAAGCCAAAGGGAACAAAGGTCGCTACCGGGCTAAAACCTGTTGTAGAACCCCCAAGGGGAGGGAGGAACCCTCGTAGTGAAAATTCCTAGGTTGTCTTTGCGCCTTCAAAAATCCTTGGAGATTGCCTGTTTCCTGTGCCGAAAACTGATACAGACAGACAGACATTGACGGAAACATAGGAAGTTCTTCGCTCACGCTAGAATGTGAAGAATGTTGTTCTAAATAAACGTTATAGTGCTTGATGTGATGCATATTTTGTATTTTTTTCTGAGAAATTCGGTTAGGTTCAGGTTAGTCTTCATGTCAAGTAGAGGTTGTACATGGCGGCCCATATGAACTTACAGCTCTTAACACTATGAGCACAGACCCTTCTTTCAACTCTTGGACATGAGACGTGCTTTCTGAAAAGCTGCTTAACGTGACCTCCCTATTATGTGTTCAGTACACTTGTGCTCTAAAATTATATAGTGGTCAAGGAACTACTAGTGATGAAGTAAGAATATTCTATGGGGCCTTTCTTGAAGCATTTTGACTTGTAGATTTTCTGGCTAAATGCAGTCCCCACCCTGGGTACACTCACCTCTCAATGCCAGAGAGTCTCGGGTGTCGGTATTTCCTGGACAGTAGTAGGCCGCCTCCCCAAGCAGCCTGCAACACACACGGCAATCGATATTTTATCGAATTTGATTGGGATTAAATTGTGTTATCAGATTTATTGACTTCTAAATGTACTTTTACCACCTGCTTAAAATCATTCCAATGCTTCAATCAGTTCAAACAGAAAACAATGAGATATGAAAGTAAGGAACGCCTAAAACTTTTTCTTGAGTATTTGTTGGTCTTCGTCAGTTTGTGCAAGAAGAATGGCTCAGTTTCCGACAGAGCAGTATGTGTTTGTTGTTGAACGTTACTTTAGACCACAGAATGAAGCAGTTAAACAGACATAGCAGATAAACCTTACTGATAAATGAGATGGTAAAGTTGCGTCATATTGTGATATAATAAATATATATTATTTAAATCTTGTCCGTCTAATCACAATAAATTCTTATTAAATATTAAAATATTACAATAATTAACATGGTCTAATGTAAATCGAATATTTCGATAAAGAACATCATTTCATATTTTAAATATTTTAAATGTTAATTATTGTAATATTTTAATATTTAATAAGAATTTATTGTGATTAGACGGACAAGATTTAAATAATATATATTTATTATATCACAATATGACGCAACTTTACCATCTTATGGTTACCGTAGTAAACCGACGTTTCGGGAACCAACTCAGTTACACACATTTAGGTTAGAAAATGTGTCATTGAGGATTTTCGTGGTTT